CCTATAGTTCTTAAAATCTTTCCAACCTCATTGCAATAACTCAGATCAATGAGCTCAAGGTGATCACATTGCCAAATTGATTCACAAACCTCAATCAAACCTATGCAATTTGAAAGTAATAACTTCTCAAGTGCAGGGAGTTCGATAAAGCCACAGAGACTATGAAGCTGTTTACAGAAACTTAGATTAAGAATCTTCAATGATCTAAGCAACCGTTTGTTGTCTTTTGAGCACGAGCCAGTTAGCTGTTAAAATAGAGATAAGGTAAAATACTTAGTGAATTGTATTAACCCAACATAGAAGAATAATATAAATTAAAGCAGATGCTTACCTTTTGCGACTTCCCAGGTCGTTGCGAGTTGCCATACGACATGTCCAGAGATTTGAAGCTGCTATAAGACATGTCAAGGGCAACTAGATTCTCCAATTGCAAGTTTGGAGGTATATACTCTAAAGGGAACCCATGCATACACAACCATCTTAATTTTTTAGGGAAGTTCTCATAAGATCCACCGAGTCGCACATAATTGAGTTGTAGTAGCATTAAGTTATCCATCTTTCTCAATGCATCTGTTTTCAACTCAACCGAGTCATACATGTTCTCTTTCTCAAGCATTTCCATGTCTAGAACAAGGCCTTTAAGCTTTCTTGTACCCTAAGAAGTAACAGAAATGTCAAATTACTTATTAACCTTATGTTAGTGTAAACAAATATTGTGTGTTACTTAAAAATTTGCACAATTATGACAAGTATAAATGGCCTCTTACTCTGTTTTGTTCCAATACATTGAATGACTCTTCATGACACCACAATCGACTACGCTTCTCTGGCATGTCAGGTGATTCTTGGCGTACTATATCTCTTCCCATCTCTTGAACCAATTGATGCATCATCAACTTCTTATTACTATCAATCGAAAGAAGGCATCTATCAACGAGATTCTTGATCCCAAGTACTGTGCGGATCTTACATGCCTTCAATATTGTTTCAGTTGATTCTCTATCTTTCCCAGCAAAAAAACAAGCAATGTGCTTAAACAATTCCTTGTCATCTGTAGATGGTAAAGAGTCGAAGCTCATTTGCAAGACCTTCTTAATACGAGAATCAGGTTCTTCCTTTAGCCTTTCTAGGCAATCCTCCCATTCAGCTATATTTCCATTACGTAGAGACCTGCCCAAAACTGAAAGAGCCAATGGATGTCCTTTACAATATTTCACAAGCTCTTTTGAAACCTCTTTGTAACCTTCCTCCGGACTGCTGCACTTGAAGGCATGAAGACATAAAAGCTCCAGTGACTGAGTCTCATATAAGGCTTCGAGTAAGTGCTTTGTATGCTTGGGTTGAACTTTAAGGTTGAATAGCTCACACTTTTCTGTCAACGACGCGTCCTTGGCCGTTATTATGATTTTGCATCCCGGATGAAAACCTTTGTTTCCAAGTAATGCATCCAATTGACTGAAACTATCAACATCATCAAGAACTAGGAACACCTTTTTATTTGCTAGTGTATTCTCAATCTGAGAGGTGTATATAGAAACATCATGGACTTGAATTGAACTTTTATTTGAAATGTCACCACAAATTTGTTTTTGTAAATCAAGCAATCCAGTTAATTTTTCAGCACATCTCCTACTGATATCTTCTACAAAGCTGCTTCTTTGGAATTCACGACAATGCAAGCAAAAAAGATATTTGGCCAAAGATGTCTTCCCAATCCCACCCATGCCTACAATTGTGAGAATTTCAGCACAAGTAGAGGATCCATCTTCCAACCAATAAGTAATGAATTTGATGTGGTGGTCCATGCCGATAAGAAATGGTACAGTCACTTTTAAGGGTACACCTAATCTACGATGAATTTCAGTAACAATTTCTTGAATGAACTCCGTCTCTTTCCTGAAATTTGAAACATCAATGTGAAAACCAAACAAATCAGATTCGTCACATTTTGCTACTATTTTTCAATTATGTTTTCTTTTTGCCAATTTATGTGATGTTAGAAAGTTGTACACTCTCTTTTGGTCATTAATGAAAATATCGAGTTTCTCTCTCATACTTCTAATATTTATTACTTGAAGTAGATGTAGTTTAGTAGCGACTAAAATACCCATTTATATATATACACACACACACACAAGTATGTTATTTTGCTACCTACAGTTTCTTACCAAGCTTTCTTTACTTAGAACAAGAAGCACATTTTCTTATTGACTTACTTTGATGATAAAATTCTTCCTACATGTGTGTATGTGTGTGATTCATAGGTGCAAAGAAAATTGAAAAATCGAAAATGATTATATAAATCTTGAGAGAGGGAGCAATAATTAACACATAGATGGTAATTAATTAATTAAGAAATATGAGGAAATAATCATTTCAATATTAAATSTCCTTATTCTATATGTATCCTAAGGGCACATAATAGAAAAACCTTTCAAACATATTGAAAATAGACAAGAGATGTATATTTATGGCACTAAAGAAACTTATTGAATTGCACACGGTTCTGTATTTAAATTAATGTGTTCAAATTTGGGCAAGAAAGTTGTTACCGATTCTTTGAATTTTTTCCCTTTAAGTCAGCAATTTCCGTCAGTGCTTCATTCCATAGCTCCACTTTTTTAGCCCAATGACTTCGTTTCTTTGCATTTGTCTCTATCTCCATCCTGTGCTTATGCTTCTCCATAGCAATTCCAAAGCTGTTTTGTTGCTTCCTGACATCGGTGGGCTCGACATGATAGAAGATGGGAATAACAATATGACCGGAGGTCCTCTTTTGATCGAGGATCAGTACCAATTCATCGAGACACCAGGTCGAAGAAGCATAATTCTGAGACAACACAATAATAGAAGCTCTGGATGCTTTGATTGCACTCTCCAACTCTGGTTTCAAATCTTCTCCCGTTTCCATCTCTTCATCGTCCAAAAAGGTAGTGATATTAACATTGAAAAGCGCCTCGTAAAGATGATCGGTGAAATTATGGCGAGTGTCAAGACCCCTAAAACTTAAAAATACATCATATCTATAAGCATGAGTTGAAGAAGATGAGCATATTTCAGAGAGAACAACCATTATGAATTATGGGAAGGTAGGAATGACCCGAGAGATGAGTAGAGACCTATAGGAGTAGGCTTAATGATTATACAAATAATAGTGGATCCAACTAATAATGAATTTAATCAATAGTGGAAGCCCAAGTCAAGTCAACAATATCAAAAGCAAACATGAATGAATTTAAAAAGAAAAAGAATTCATGATGACATTCTGTCTTTGTAAATGTGAGAAAGATATCATCAGTATCATAATTAGTGGATCCAATTCTGCTATATCTGTGAATGTTGCTTTAAAATTAAAGACAAGATTGATAAATAATATCATAATATGACAGTTTTGTCACATACTATAATTTGTAAGAATACAATAAATTGTACGTTAACATAAGCTCATTACTAATAAATTCATAACTTAAGACATTATCGGGTTTACAGGACGCCTAAAGTTTAATTGTCCGAATAGAGTGCTTTACTGGACTTAAGTTTACATGATTAAAGAATAAAATGTTATATCTAAAAGTGTTACAATAAATTTATAGGATGCTTTCGAGCATCATAACATGTTTTTAGAGCATTTTTTAAAATAAGAAGTTGTATTAGCTATTTTATAGGATATTTTCTGACAAATGTATTATAAACCCATCTTTTTATAGGACACTCTTGTTTATAGAACACTTCCTCAAACAGAGTCCTATAAAATAGCTAATACGACACTATATTTTAAAAAATGTCCTAGAAAACTTATTACGATGCCTAAAAGTGCAATATAAACTTATTGTAACACTTTTAGATAGGATGTTTTTTTTTTTGGTCCTATAGACTTAGGTCCTATAAGGCACGCCATTAGGATATTTCAACACTTTAGGGGTCCTATGTATAAACTCAATTTTGTCATAGTGACTAAGGGGACGTTCGGTTCATTTTAAGAATAGAGATGGGAGCAAAAATAAATATGATTGAAAATGGATTTGAATATACTCATTACATTATTTAACATTGTTTTGCATCATTGATGCTTGGAGATAAATAAAAACATAAAACATCCAAAAATGGCAGTATCTCTATCTCTCCCTCCCCCCTCCCAAAATCCTTTTTTCTAGACAGATTGCACATATGAAATCATTACAGATGCAGTCATCATAACTTCACTTTTATTACGGATTGGGTCCCTTGTCCTAACTCCACTAATCATTGCTCTGTTAATTCAGGGGTAATATCGTCTTTTTACCTTTTATCCTTTACAAAATATATACAAGTTTTATATATATGTGTGTGTGTGTGGCTACAACTCATCGTTGCCCCCAAGAAAGTCCATGCCGCCCTCCCTCCTCCCCAACTCAGGCCACTCACCACTGCCCGCACCTTACCTCCCCTTTTTCTCTCGGGCACTCTCTCTATTTTAATTTGTTCTCAGTAGTGGCTGCCGACCAGATCAAAGAGAGAGCAAAAACGTTGGCTTGTAACTTGCGGCTTCCCTCATCACCCATTCCCCTTAGACACCATAACACGAAATGGGTTTTTTTGGATATGTCAACAAAATGAACAAACAAAAGCAAGCACCATTCTGACCTTGCATAATTAGTATCATCCTTATGAACCTTTTGAGGCAACCCAAGATAAAATTTCATTTTTTTTTTTTGGAACAGCAAATATTATTAAAACAAATATTATTTCATTTTTTTGCTGTCTTCACTTTTCAACTTAATCCAACAGCTTCACTACGGGATCTGGGATGGGTTTTGTTTTGAAATCGATTTGGATTGGATTTGTTTGAAATTGATTTATTAAGTTCTGGTGAGTTGTAGAATTGACTTAGTACAATGAGCAAGGCTTGAGAAACAAATTTCTCTGTTTTGGTGAGTTCTTTTGCACCCATCAAACYGTAGAAATTTGTATCAGATATCATCATCATCATCATCCTAATTGCTATAAACAGAGCTCGGAATCATCTGCAAAAAATGCGATCATGTTGCAGGATTGCTCAAAAACTGGCCCCAAAAAGGCAATGGTGGTCATACTACTTCCAAATTTCTCAACCCCTCTAGCGATCATATAAGTGTTATTAGCTTCCACCACCACCATAACATCTCTAGTTCTCGATCCAACAATGGTGAAACAGTTTTTGCAATCTACCTGCACAGTCTTTCTTGAACTTGCAATTTGAAGCTATGAAATAATGCAATCGATCGCAGAAGAGTTTTTGTTATTGGATTCACTTCTCCACCAGAGAAAAATGCGACACCAGGGATAGGGATGGTGAAGTATTGGCGGGGTTTATAGTGTATGTTCTGTTTTTATTTTTTTTAAATGTTGTACACCGTTGTACATAAGCTTTATGAACTTGTACAATAAAATCTCAGTCTAAAAGACAAAAATACCCCTCACTTCAGAAGCATGTGAGGGGGTTAAGAGTGCATTAAACAAAGTTAGGTTCAAGGATCCAATATTTAACAAAATTGGAACCACAATGGTGATGTCCTTAATTAATTAATTTGTTTAGGGACCCAATTCATAATTTTGATATAACCACACAGACCAAAATATGTAATCTACTCTTAATAAAATATGAATTTCTTCAAAAATAAACTATAACATCAATTATTGTGACATAAAAGTCATGTGTGCCGGGTCTACCAAATGGATATATATATATATATATATATATATATATATATATAATACCAACATGGAACAAATAATTTGTTTTGGTCAATTAAAAAGTTATTATGGAATCTTTTTATTATAGTTAATAATGTCACATTATTGATTCTTATGTAGATAAGAAACATCATGGTATTTTTTAATAAAGATAATGACGGTGTATTTTGTCATACAGTAGGCCTCAATGATTATCCTCTATTAGAATGAGTTTATCAATTGATGACTAGTTAATCTTATGGAGTTAAAAAAAAAATTAAGAAACTGTACATGTGAAGTGATTACTTGTAAACTTGAAATTTAAAAGATTATGAATTACTAAGGTGTACGCAATAGGTAATAAGTGGTTCTTACAACTTTTACCGAAAGTTCTATAATATAATATAGACATACATAATTTGAATTAAAATCTAACCAATGCTATGTTGCATTTCTTGTGGTTACTAACATATATAAGAGGTTTGACAAGAGAACATCTTGTATATTCCATGATGTGTTCTTTGAGAGGAGAGATGCATGTAAATGGAAACTCTGGACTCTTTATGGTGCCTACTAATATAACTCCGACATTTCATTGAAATCCCAAGCATAGGATTTTGAAATCCTTCATGGTGCTTAGTATTTCGTGGGATTTCGTAAGATTGTATGTGATAATGTTTTAAAAATGTTAAAAAAATTGTTTTGGAATCATCAATTAATGAAAATGTAATTTAATTATTTTTATAAATATTGGAATCCAATTCAATTCCAAATCCTATAAACCAAACACACCAAAAATTCCAAATCCAAATCCCTCTACGAAATCCAAATCCCTCAAAACCATTTCATCAAACTAAATGCCCCCTTAAAGTACCCTTACGTAGTGTTCGGTTGGTCGGAATCTGATGGAATTTGAAGAAATTGGAATAGTCAATTCCAATGACCAAATTCCATTTATGCGCTTGGTTCATTCTTTGAGTTTTGGTCAGGAATTCGAATTCTAAATATGGCAAAATGTAAATTCCTTAGGTTCTAGCATGGAACTCCAATTCCTTTATCCCATTTTAGAAAAATTATTATGCTCTTATATTACTCCATTATATTCCATCTCACCACGAGGGTTGTCAACACCGTCGTTACCATTGATGCCTTCACCCCCACCCTCACCATCTCCTTCACCGACCACTGATGTCACCAACGTCACCACAATCGTCACCACAACCACAACTATCGTTACACCATCACCACCACCATCTCCCATCCACCACCATTATTATGTTCAACAAACCAAACAAACATATTCAAATTGTTTCGAGAAATTCCATTCCAGTTCCTGCCAACCTAACACATGGTCACAGCTGATGAAATTTCATTCCAATTCCTTCAAACCCTAATTACTTTGACAGATCGCATTATGTGAACCAAACACCCCCTTATGAAAACAAAAGTCAATATGAGATTAACGTTGGTTTAGGCAAGTTTTTAAGTAGATGATGACGATGACTTAAATCAAAATTAGGAATCCGCAGAGTTTAAGGTGTTGTTTGGTTCATGGAATCCATTGGATTTCAAAGGAATTGGAATTACCAATTCCTTTCACCAAATTCTAGTTCATATATTTGGTTCACATCTTGAAATGAATGGAATTGTTAAATTCCTTTGAATTCGTGGTTGAGGGATTCGATCATTCCTTCGCATAAAGTCAAGGAATTGATTTCCATTTATTGGCAAATGTAAAGGATTCCATACGTAGGAGGTAGATGATGACACCCGTGAGAAGGGTCAAGAGTTTGATGGTCGAGGGGTGAGAAAAAGGTGTAGGCTAAGAAGGACATGGGATGACTAGTTGAGGATGAACATGAGCCTTAGATATTTGAGAGGACATGAACTTCTAACGGTAGGGATTTGTAGGTGGGGCGAGGGGAGAGTAGTAGAGGGTGAGATTGTAGTTATCTATATTGTTTTTGTGCTCCCTCAYCCCTTTTTTGTTTGTGTAACCTATTTCCCTTTCGTCTACCGTGTTACATTGTCTAGCTTCTTATACACACGCTCACACATATGTCTCACTTGCTTGGTATATCTATTTGTTCTGCAAGCCAAATGTATGTTTCACGAAAATACTCCTTGGGATAGAGGTAAGGTTTGTGTACAACTTACCCTCCCTAGACCGTACATACCTCTTCGTGGGATTTACTATGTCATTCGGTTTGGTTTTAAAATAGAGTTAAAAGAATGCACTTGTACTCTTGTAGCAGTGTGATTGGGATGTGAAAGAAGCAGATAAGCATATTAGCCCAAGTAGTGGTTGGGAAAGACATGTACTRTTGTTTGGTTTGAAAGATGGAGARGTTGACAATTAAGGATATTCATCATATATAGGATATAAAAGCAAAGTGAACAAGTATCACTAAAAGATGTATCGAGGATAACTCTCCATATCATAGGAAGGGGCATATTATTATTACTATTAAAGCCCAAACTACTAAAAACCAATTAAATAATAGGATAATATATATAACTAACACCGAGAGGAGTTACTCTTTGATACTGAGTACATAGATTATACTGATGTAATTTTGACTAAAAGTCCAAATGATTAGGTGTAGCAACCCCGGTAGGCAGTAATCACCAACCCCATAGGCTTACACCATCAACCAAAAAAAACCTAACTGCTAGAATTCTATGCTACTAATAACTAATTAGGCMTTTCATTTTCATTCCCTATCAACAGCACAACACTATGTTAATACATCAGTAGCACAACACTATGTTAATCCTATTTTCCATGCCTAAGACAATTAGTTAACCAAAGGATCACAAAGTTAATAGAAATGAGCAGATAGGCATTTATTTAAAAAGTAATCGAGACAGAGATGTACCTGTTCAAATTGGTTATTTTAAGGAGGGAAAAGGCGTAAGGGAACAACACCCAGATTGTTCAGGGTTGGCTTCGACAAACGGATGATGCTCAAACATGGTGATTCGGGTGATAGTTGGGGAGTATCGGCAGAGGAAGTGAGCGACAGAGGAGCGGGCGATGCCGGTACCGATGATGCAGACATGAGCGGTGGTTTGGGGAAGAAGATGAAGAGCGATGGTGGTGCAATGCAATCCCCCAGTCGACAATGGAGGATCCGCAGGGGTTTAATTGGTTCAATTCCCAGCAATTACATTTTATTTTTTCTTTCATTAAATAATTATTAAAATTACGTTTTCATTTTGCAAAATTTTCATCTTTGGCATTTAAATTTTACCAATAAGCACTTGCCGGGTAAGTGTTTGATAAACGGCCCTTAAACAAGGATGGGTCACGACATAATGTTTGCTCTGTTAACTCCTTTTCCTTTTGAAATTGGTAGGAAGAAGGGGATTACTTGGTAGAAACCATTACCTTTTAAAGTTAGAGAATCCTAACTGTTTCTATATTAATTCCGAAAATAACCCCTCAATAAATCAAATGATTGACAAAATACATTTTTCATTGTTGAGATATTTACAAATGATTTTTTGATCTTCCAACTCATTTCGAATTTCATTAAAAATTTTGAGTTGTTCAAAGCACTCAGACAATTTGACAGTTAATTCATCTATTTTGTTTTCAACTTTTTCTTTTCAAGAGCATTACACATTTTCACATATGTGATTATAAGATGAAAGAGAAAGATATACATGTTTTTTAAAGTATGTAATATTTATATACGGGAAATACAACAAATAAACTCACACACCCTTCTCATCTTTAGTGAGGTTTGAACCCCTGACCTCCTAGGAGACCAAGGACTACGATACCGCTAGGCCAAATACCTTTTGGTAGGTTATACCTGTTTGTTTAGAGAAAGATGTGATTCACTAATTGTCGTGTTTTGATTTGAGTTGAATTTCTTACAAGCATCATAAATTAAAAGGAGTTTTACGAGTGTTGTTATGGTGTAGGGTGATGGACCAGGAAGTGACACAAAAAAATGGCAAGAATTGTTTAAAGCTGCTCAACTCCAATAAAGATATGTGTACATGCATGAAGTCTCTCAACTTATGCCATCATGTTGTTATTAAGTTTCAAATTTGTATTTAATGATATGTAAATGTTATAAAAACAAGATATGAATATATGTAACTATTGTACTTGACTTTAGCTTCAAAAATACCATTATAGTTGCAGGAAATCTATAAGGAGAAATGTTCTCATCGTAGTCAGGCTATGTTTGGCAAATTAGCTGTTAGCTGATAAATAAATCACATTTAGGAAAAACTAGCTGATAAGCTAGATAAAAAATGTAAAATGACAAAAAAGGACATCTTGAAAAATTAATCAATTACAACAATTCTTAATATAATTAAATCAAATCTAATAATATAATTTGTTAATTAATGCAACAAGATAGTAAAAAAAAGAATTAAATAATATAATATGTTAATTAAAAAAAATCAAATTGATTATATATTATAAATTTTGGAATCTTTAAAACAAATTTTAGAAGATGTTCACAATAATTTATAATTTTAAATGATCATCACGTACAATATAAATGAAAATAAAATTGGTCAACCTTACATATGCTAATTAATTATTGATTTTTCAAAAATTATAATTAATAATTAAATAAAATATTTTATGAAAATCATTTAGTATAATTTTATTATCTATAAAATAAATAAGTATAATTTTAAAATAATTTGCATAAACATTTTTTAAAATTGTTATATTTGTTTTTTAATAACTCAATGTAATGAATAATGATTAAAAAAATAATAATATAAAAATAGTTGATATCATTAATAGTAATTCTAAATAATGAATGAACTTTAATTAATATTAGCCACTAGTTATTAATATTAGTAATAAATATCAGTGTTATAATAGAAAAAAGTGTCAAAAAACTATTAAAATGCTACTCCAATTAACATTTCAATAAACCAACCTACGTAAGTTCAAATGACAATTCAAAAAACAAGTTAGTTTATGTTTGTCAAATAATGGTCGTTGAACCATTAATAAAAATGGTATTACATCAATGAAGTCATTATCCAATTAATACATGTAAAGTCCAAGGATGTATGTAATATGTTTTAGAAAATCCAAAGAGTTATTTAACAGGTTTTTAAATGTTCAATAACTTATTTGTTCTAAAAAAGTATCCAAAGAATTAATTATTTCAAACACTAAAGTCAATTGAGTTTTTTTAGGCTTTTATCTTAATAAAAATGATATTATATCAATGAAGTATTTATCCAATTAATACATACAAAGCAACAAACAAATTTCAACAAAAGATGTGTTGGTAACTTTGGAAATGACAAATGCATGGGGTTGAGGGAGGAGACCAACAAGAAAGTGAAAGTGCTTGTATAATTTGTAAAAACATTTTTAAAACTATTATATTATATAATTTGTAAAAACATTTTTAAAACTGTTATATTTGTTTTTAACAATTAACTATGTTGAACAATAAAACATAATAATAATGATATAAAAGATAATTGATAAAATTAATAATAATTAGTATTTAATATTAATCAATAATTGGTAACGCATTTAATCCAATTTATGTTAAATACGTTTGAAAATTCATGATCTCTTTTTGACGATAATGCGTTATTTCAATTTTCTTTTATATTTAAAATTGAATTTTATATTCGATTTTCATTTTAGCATAACGTGTTGAAATTTGTTCCAAGGAATAAAGTGGATATATTACCATCGTAAAATTGAATTTTATATTCGATTTATTTTAATATTTAAAAATAAATATATAAAACCAATGTAATTGAATTATTTTTATTTAATTTTAAACAAATTATCTCATTAACTATAAATGAGATGATTTGTGAATTTGTTTTTTATAATTAATTTAATTAAAATTAAGTTGTTATAAGAATAAAAATATAAAAGTCAGTGTCGATGGGCTTCCAAAACTTTTCCCACCTCTCAATCCTCTTGATTTTATTTTTATTCATTTATTTATTTTCTACAAAATTATAATTATTAAATGCATCAACGTGTGATTGGGTTTATTTATTATTGTTTGGTAAAGTTAAGGTGTCTTACTGAAATGGTAGTTGGAATAGTTTATAAACTGAGTTTTTTGTTATATTTTTTAATTATAGTTTTCATTTATATTAATTATAAATTATTATCATTAATTATAAATAAATAAAAATAAAACTAATCTATACTATATTATAAAATATCTGACAAATGAAACACCCCAACCCACATATCGCATGTAATACATATATTTCACATCAAGAAATACATATTCATATACAACTGGGTCCTCTAGTACAAGAAACTATCTTGATCAAATACAAGATACAAAAATTCAAATTACAATCTTGTACTAATCATCAGAGTTATATATCAAAAGCAATTCTTCAACCGAAAAGAACGTAAGAAAAACACTAAATCTTTTCCTTTCCTTTACCTTCTACCCGACCTGCAACACATATTTAAAATCACAAAAACGAGGGTTAGACTGTAAAGTCTAGTGAGATACCCTATTCATGTTATTGCAGGGTGAAGGATCACCAAAATCTTTACATAAACAAGTATTCATATAAATAACAAATATATGAATCCATAATACCGAAATACCAATTCATTTCTCAAATTCAAGCTATCACTTAGCTTATTCAAATCTCATAACTTTTGAACCAATCAAATTCCATACAATGCCAATTTTTAAACCTTTTTCTCAATAACGAGGTTTAACAAGTTTCAGGCCAAAACATATCTTTTTCCCATAATAACATCCAATCTATGATTTCCAAATAAGAACCTCAATCCTAAATCTTTAAATCACAAAGAAATAAAGACTCCAGATCTTAGTAATCTCAAAGGATATAATAGAAAGAGTTATATAAAT